CAGGACAGAAGGGTACTCAGGACAGAAGGGTACTCAGGACAGAAGGGTACTCAGGACAGAAGGGTACTCAGGACAGAGGGGCAAACAGACAGCACATGCTTAATACATTGAGCCACGAGACCAGACAAGTGACAGGGGAGAAACAAGGACTGACGTATGGACGGGATGACCAGCACCACCTGCTGGTCAAACGGGGAAGGGGCACAGAAGGACCACAGCGGGAGGCCGACCCTGACAAAGCAGTTGCTTCACCTTCCTCTCACTGGTCAAACGTAAAATGTAGCAGGTTCATATCCCACAAGGAGCCCCACTTAAAGACCCTCGAGTGAAACACTGCGATTCACCCACATGGAAACAGACACAGAATCAGAAGTTGATTTAACCTTTAGTGACGCCCTGGATTCAGGCAGAATGCAGAACAGTCCCCAGCAGTGTGTAGGCAGCCAATGATAACGCAGAAACAGCAAGGTAAGCAGGTCCAGGCAGCCAATGATAACACAGAAACGGCAAGTTAAGCAGGTCCAGGCAGCCAATGATAACACAGAAACGGCAAGGTAAGCAGGTCCAGGCTAAGGCATTCATTCATCTAAACCATAAATAACAATGTAGGCCTCAGCGTCACACTAGAATTATCTCCTCTGCTTTAAGCTAAGAAAACCATTTGATATTTACATGCTATATTACGGAGTGAGTTAGCTTGCAATGGACAGCTGTGTTTCAGATATAAAAGTCTGTCAGCAGTGTGGATTCTCTGATGCCTCTTCAGATTGCTCTTCAGGGTAAACCTTTTGCCGCAGCTGGGGCAGCTGTAAGGCCTTTCACCCGTGTGAACCCTACGGTGTGCTTTCAGATTGCTTAACTTGGAGAAGCACCTCCCACACTGTGCGCAGCTGAAGGGTCTTTCGCCAGTGTGAGTCCTCTGGTGTTCCTTAAGGTACGGAAAACGGGAAAAGCTCTTCACACAGCAGATACAACTAAGTTTTTTGACAGTGCAAGTGGTACGGGTCTCTGAGCTTGTCAGCGTCTGCCCATTTTTAGGGGGGGGGGCATCTGGACTATCTGATGCTCCATGCGGCTGCCTGAATCGAAATCTCTCATTGCCCACTTTGTCAGCACTTGAGCTGATTAGCTGCATGGTATCTTGCGGAAGCGCTAAGCTAGAGATCTGCCTGCACACAGTCTCCGACTGGATCTCATCCCTCCGTAGAGGTGCCATGTGCCATTTACTTACTTGTTAACAGGCAGTATGTTGGACAGCTCTGTCTCCACTTTCACACTTATGCAGTGTAGTGAGGACCCCATCTTACTGACCCCTCAGACTCTCTGCGTCTCCTCCGCATGGAGAGCCACGTGGATGCCTCACTGGTGAGGTGTTCCGGGCATGTCCCACTGGGAGGAGGCCCCGGGGAAGACCCAGAACACGCTGGAGAGACTATGTCTCTCGGCTGGCCTGGGAATACCTCGGGATTCCCCCGGAAGAGCTGGATGAAGTGGCCGGGGAGAGGGAAGTCTGGATTTCCCTCCTTAGACTGCTGCCCTCGCAACCCGATCCAGAAAAGCGGTATGAGATGGATGGATGGATGCTTGTACAAAACCCAGTTACAGGAACGTTGCATGGGAGTGACAAATGTTCATTAATGAGACCTCGGGACCCATGATTCTGACATCTCACCTGCGGTGGGCTAGTCTTTCCTGATCCAGCACTAAAGGTAGCTGAGGCCAGCTTAATTGGCAACACTTTACTTTATGGGGTGCAAATAATCTTGTATTAATATGATTATAATTGATCAATTTAATAAAGATAACAGCAGGCATAAGGTCAGATTTCAGGCCTTGTTTATACAGTTATAAAGTCATTACTTTTTTTTTTATAAAATCAATAACACTGCTAAATGAAATATTAAACATTCAACAGCATTGAATAAGTGGCTGTCTATTCTTGTGAGATTGTCTGTGTGTTATCTCTATCTGGCAATAATTGAAACAGAACTGTGCACACTGTAGCTTAGTGTCAAGACAAAGAAATTTAATGAAAGATTTGCATCTACAACAGTCAATGCAATTTGGGCATAGAACTGTGGACACTGTGCTCCAGCTGAAAAGCTTTGTACAAAAACAAAGAAAAACCTTAAAACATTTGTATCTAAAATTTCACAACCAAAAAAATTAAATCAGTGTTCAGACTGCTCCATTTCAGAAATCAAACTGGACGATCGAGCGATAGATAAAGGTACTAAGTGTCCAACACCTTGCATCAGTCATTGTGGATTAAATCGGGATAGTGCTTACATTATGATACAAACATTTTATATACTTGCGAAAATAAATGGTTCCATTTTACTTCTGATCTGAACAGTTCTTGCATCAGACAGGATATGAAATTTCAGCTAATTGTGTAATCACTTACTCTGTCTAAGTCAATTTTTCAATCACAAATCACAGAGTAGCCTAAAACAGTGTCTTTGCAGCACTGTAAAATAAAATGGGTTAGCAGAGTGGTAAGGCTGCATCGCCCAGGGGTTAGCTAGATAGTGAATTTTCAAAACTCAATACGACATAGCATGTCGGGAGTGCTAATATCAGACCTAACATAAATTACCAATAACCTTAGCACATTGAAGGAGGACGGCACACTCTCTGTCAATGGGATCAGAAGTGCCAGTGTGGCTTTAAAGTGCCGTACACACTTCGCGATTCATTGTGGTGTTTATGTATGCTGTCAGTGTTTACGGATGCTGTCAGTGTTTACGCACGCTGTCAGTGTTTACATTTTGCTTTGTTGTCCTATGCGCCGTATCTTATGATTGAGTTGGTGTTGTCGTCGTACAGTCTGCATAGCCAAGATTATTAGATCCGTATTGCACAGTGTGATGCGTAATGATTTTATAAGATTGCTGAAATCACACAGTGTGTACCGGTGTTCTGTCATTACATCCTACCTATCGAGCTTTTCTGCGCATGTGCAGTTCCACCGTTTTGGGATTAGGTTTTAGGGGTTCGGGTTAGGGTTAAGGTAAGGGTTTTAGGGGTTTTGGGGGGGTTAGGGTTAGGGTAAGAGTTAGGGTTAGGGCTATCGACTAGCACTACGGTAGCCTAACTCGACAAAGTAGCTCAACTCGACAGAACGCTGGGCATTACACTTTAGAAGCACGTGTGGCACGCTGAAGGTAGGCATGTCTTCTCTGCTTTGTTTAATATGACTGTTTGCAGTTATAGTAAGCTGCACTTACCTCTAGATGTTTCCTCAGGTTGGACATGGACTGTTTAGATGTCTACAACATTTTTACAGCCGGTAAACACGCACTGCATTGCACAGTTAAATTTGTGCCTTTTTCCGTAATGTATCAGAAATGTTTCTTTATATTTCCAGCAATAGAATGCATTCCTTTCTTTGTCTGCCATTGCCTGCAACAGAAACTCAGACCGCTCCGGCAAGTTAATTAGAAAAACATGAAAACAATAAAAACACTGTTATTAAATATATTAGCAAGGGTTTGCATACAATCTTATGATGTAACTAAAATTGTAAACATGAATATTTCCATAAGTAACTAATTTAATTACACTTTTTTCTCTAGTAACTGTAACGGATTACAATTACATAACGCCGTTACATGTAACTCGTTACTCCCCAACACTGCTGATGGCACATCTCTAATTTGATTTTGTCTAGCTTAAATTGCATTTTCTTT